CTTGACTAGAACTCTGCAGGTGATAACAATAATAACAACTTTTTAGATTGGCTTTAATATTCCTTCTGAGAGTTAATAAAATTAAAACTTGCATTATATCTAAATGGTTTATAGCTGTATAAAACCCTTACTTTAACAAAAATATTAAAACTTGTTACAATTTTCATTTTTTCCATGTTTTTAACTTAGTGTAAAGTGTGGAGAGGGCAGGGTGTGTGTGTGTGTATGTAGGTAGGTTTCTAATTGAATTGATTTGAGGATAGCTCCAAATGTTGCCTAGACATAAGTTTAAGCAAAGAATAACATATTCTTATATGTAAGCCCTTGCTAATACCAAGAGATTAGAAAACATTTTATAAGCTCCCACAAAGACACACGTCTGTCCACAAATACACCATGCATGTACATACAAATACAATAAACAATCAAGCATAAAATATTTTCATTCATCCAACTTTTCAGTCTATATAATGCCAAAAATTATCCTGACTTATTTTTACCTGTGCTAAATTGGCTATTTCCACAGAGAAATTACTTTATTAATTAGTATTTTGGGCACTAACAATGCCTTAAGAAAAATATACATAACTTAAAAAAAAAAATGAACCTATAATTCACATAAAATATCATTTTTATAGTTAACTCAGTGCTGTCCTGTTTTATTAATTTTGAAACAAGTATGTAGAAAAAAATCATAAACATGGTATTACATATTGTCTTAATTTTTAACTGAAATTCTTATTAATTTTATTATCAAGGGATATGTCTAGTCAATACCAATTAGCAACTTAAAGTGTTTTATATATTAAAATACAGCATTCTATTTATCCTAGATTGTCTTGGGACCACCTGGTATATTAAGAATTTGTGAGTTTCTTAATGATTTTACTGCTACTATTATGCCTGTTAGCAAATTTGCAACATTTTAACAAATATTTTCCATAAATCAAAACCATAACAGCATAGAGAAGCAGATGGCAGGATACTATATTAGAAAATGTAATAATCATTTTCATGAATAGGGAAATATTGGATCATCATTTTCAGCACAGGCTCTGCAGTGAGCAGTTGTCAACTGTGAAGTCTCATGGCTGTTAAGTATACTTTCAGATAATTAACCCACATTCTGTATTTTACAGGACTGTCTATATACAAAGGCAGAACAGAAAGCATGTTAAATGTTTAGTAATTTTATGCTTTCATTTAATATAAGCAAAGAAAATGTTGGCACATTTTTAAAAGTTCGAGTACAGTGATTCATGTATGTGTTAGAGTACACCAGTGTTCTTCATTTTCTCAGAAAATAAGGTAAATCACTGTGTTTATCAAAAAGAAAAAATAGCAATAATTACAAATTCTACAGTTGTATTACACTAACAATCTTATCTTCATCTAACCAATGTTAGGTTAAAATTATACGAATATTACTTCAGCTCTTCATATATACAAAATGCTATTAAAGTCAAAGATTTTAAACTGCATTGTTATTATTAAGATTAAACAGTTGAATTAATTATAGCCTTGTGTATACTTAAACAACTGCAATGTGATTAGATAAAATCTTTGAATTTACTGAGCTTTTAAACTTTAGTAGTAATGTATTAAAAGATAATATATAACTTCCCAATTATATATAATTCTTTCAACAAAGTCTTCCCTTTTTCTGGCATATTTTCTATTTTGTTTGTTATATAATTGACCAGCTTTAAATAACACACATATAAAATTTATTTCTGTGGAAAAAGAAAAGTTTAAAATACAGAATTTTTAAAATAAAATGGTACTGCAGGAATGGGAGAGGTAGCATTGCAAAAATAAAAGTCTTTACATTTATTCTTGAAGCTAGTTGGATAAATGCAGAAAAAAATACATTTTACTGAGGGTTTCATCAATAGAAAACACAATAGACATCATTTGGATGTGTAGAAATACATGCATAAATCCTTTTACAAGAAGACAAAAAGTTCCTTTTTATGTGTAAAGCAGCAGATAGTAAGATTTCATTATTAAATAGGTCGAATCCAATGGGGTTTAAAAAAAGATCAAAATAACTATTTTCCAATAATCTCTTATACACTCAAATTCTCTATGAACCTCAGGGGAAAAAACTAGAACAGAAAAAATTTAGGCCATTTTTATAATTTTCAAATAGTTTGTTTAAAAATTAAAATCATACAAATGATAAAAAATATTAGTGTATGCAATGAATAATGATTACAGGAAGGTCATATGACATATTAGATCTGCAACACGGAATATGGGTAGTACTTATTAAGAAAATGTAATAAAATATCTATATGTGTAACTTAGAGTAACTCAGATTGACATTTTCTGCTTTTCAACATGCAGGGTACTGGAGAAACAAATAATGTAATTTCATGTAGCATATATAGCCTGTGCCACTATTAATACTGAAGCAAAATTCAATCCTTCAGGTGTTTTCAAGAAACAAAGATGATTGATCTATTGCTCAGAACACAGCAAAATGATTGATTCCAGTATTCATCTACATCTTAGATATTATAAGGCCAGTAAATATCAGCCTAGAGATATTGTAAAAACATTGAAACATTTAGTTATACCGTTTATTTATTTAAATATTAAAATTCCACAATATCAGAACAGCAAAAAGTATTTTCATAATACCTTGAAGTACAAGAAAATGCCAATATTATTCAATCTATCAAAATAGAGGAAGAATATATTCTTTCTTAGGTTGTGAAATCTAACTTCTCCCTGACACAAAGGTGGGTATACCAAATCAAGAAACTCAAGGTGTCTGATTTTTTAATGCAAGTTATTAAATATTTTATTTAGTTATGTGAGTGGAAAAATGAGTTCAAAAGGAGGATGAAGGTGATTTACCCATATCCTCAGCTCAGTTCGTTGTGTATTATTGAGGGTTTCATTCCCAGATAAAAAAAGCTATAGTCGCTGACAACACATCTGTAAAATGAGAAAACATTTTTTTATATATTCTTCAGTTATAGAAAAGTTTTGAGAAGAAAGAACTAAAAATAAATTATGAAGATCTATGCCAATTCATAGGAGTCCCTTGTTAAGGTCATTGGGAGTTGGAAAGGTTGCTTTGTGGAAATTAATGAAAAGGCAGCCAGTATCTTATAATAAATAGAGAAACTAGAATGAATAAAACATTATCTTTATTTTTTAATTTTTTAAAATATGTCTATTGATTTCAGAGAGAGGAAGGGAGAGGGAGAGAGATAGAAACATCAGCAATGAGAGAGTCATTGACCGGCTCCCAGCCACGTACCCCCTACTGGGGATGGAGCCTGCAATCCTGGCATGTGCTCTGACTGGAAATTGAACCATGACCTCCTGGATCATAGGTTGATGCTAAGCCACTGAGCCACGCCAGGGGGACAGGACGTTATCTTTAAAAGTCAGCTAAAAATAATAGAAACAAGATTAATTAATCTTATTTTTCACAAAGTTTTAATTTTCATTACAATTATGCATTAATTATTTGAATAAACAGGCTTGCTTAATTGTGTATTAATAGCCCAATGATAGCTAATGCTTTCTTTGATAAAATTGTTTGATAAACAATATTACTCTTTCAATGTTAAGTCTAATTTCTGCAAAAATATTCTTGACAATTTTCCCAAGGTTCACTCATAATTCTTATTTACTCAAATAATTTTACTCTAGGATTTTCATAATTTTCACTTTGGCATTTATTTGTACCACTTAAAATGTTACTGTCATATGTTTGCAACATGCAGTAGTCATAGAGAAACTGACCCATAAATATTTAACATAAATATATAGCAAGAGTCCTACATATATAACAGGGTGTTTGAAAGGGGGCTATTATATAAGTGAGCATCTCCCTTAGTAGATTGTCTAGAGTTTGGTATACTTTCACTTTCTTATGCAAACTCATCATCGTTGGTGATGGGATAATGATATTAAGATAACAAGGGCTCCCTCCTCCATCATTATATATAACATTAACTGTACACTTAGCTCTTGATGGATACATAGCTACAATGCTATATATTACAGTAACATAGCTGATGTAGGAATTTTTCACCTGGGTCTCAAGGAGACATTCAGAAGGTCCTTAAAACCTCTTTGTGCATGCAAATTTTTGACTGTATATACAATTCTGTATTTTTCTGGAGAGAGGGTCTATAACTTTTGTGACACAGAACCACTTTTACTCTGTCTTTAAAAATTCATTACCCATTTTACAATCCCCAAATAGCTATTATAATCTCCAAGTAGCAGCAAATATTGGTTCTCTTTCTAGATCTCTTTTGTTCAAACTCTACCATCTGCATTGTGTGCATGTATGTTGGGGTATGTCTGTGTGAAGAAACAAAAGTTCTAATCTATATTCTTGAGTAGGTATTCAGTGTGTTCCTGTTTCTGAACAGAGCATGTCTCCATAAATATGCAAAAATACTTTTAGAATTTATGTAATTAAAGAGACTAACGAAATCAGTATACTATTTTAGAAATCATTTTTTAAATATTTTTTTTGTATTTTATTATGCAAAATTCTGTTTATTGAATCACAGAAAACCTATCTCTTAACCAGACAGTGGAGAAAAGCAATGAACTACCAAATCCATTGATCATGATTCTTGAAAACTGTTTTAAGAGTTAAAAGGCAAGAAGATATATGTGAATAACTAAGAAAATATATATTTCAGAGGTTTACTCCTTGCAATCTGTTAGTACATCAAGTTGAGAGCTATTTCTTATGTTGTACCTCTTTCCAGGAAACAAAATTTAAGTAGATTTGAACTCTGTAGTCAACGAAGAAAAAAATCTTTTAGTCCTCAATAGTTCTTCATCATATTTCTTCTTCCTGTGAATTAATTCTACTCTTGCTTTTAGTCCATCAGTTTTTCATGAACATGTAATCCTTACAGAAAAATGGAGGCACAGCAATATATGAAACAAAGAATATAATTGCATAGCAACAGCACAGAATTGTTTCCTGGTTAACAAATTGACTGTGTTTATTTTTAAAACCCGTCACCATCATCTGAGCTAAAACTGCTTCTCCTACTGGTCTCTTTGCAAACTGCAGGGGAAGTGGCAGATAGCAGAGGATCTGTTCCAAAAGGAGATATTGTGTCATCCAGTAGCATGTCATCCAATCTTTGTTCCTCTTTCAGAGCAGCACTGAATGATAAATCTGTGAAGTGAGACAAAGGATCAGAGAAAGCCATAGCTTGATCACAGAGCTCGGGGCTTGTTCCTTGAGATAGAGTCAGTTTTTGGCAATAGTCTCCTGAATTCTGCTCAAGAGGGGTCTGTTGTTCGGTGATGTGAGCACATAAATCAACTGTGCCAAGTGAAGCCAAGGTTGGAAGACCATGAGCACGAGCCTGTATTTCTAGTTCCTGCAATTTCAAACAAGAATAATTAAATAATGACTTTGAAAGTGGACTTAACTCTAGATAATAAACCAGATATAACACCAATTTTATTTTTAATCCTCACCCAAGCATATATTTCCATTGATTTTTTTTTAGAGAGAGTGGAAGGGAGGAAGGGAGGAGGGAGCTAGAGAGAGAGAAACATCGAGGTAAGAGAGACACATCGAATGGTTGCCTCCTGCTCATGCCTGATCTGGGTCAGGGATTGAACCCACAATCCAGGTATATGCTCTTGACCAGAAATTGAACCCGACATCCTTGGGTCCATGGGCTGATGCTCTAACCACTGAGCCTGAGCCCAAGCTAGAATCAAAATATTAACAAGTATTCAAACTGAAGAGTAATACAAATTATAAACATTTTTGCAAATAATAAAATCTGATATATTCCTATTGTCTAAAAAATAATCCTCAAGCCCAGCCTGCATGGCTGAGTGGTTGAGTATCAACCTATGAACCAGAAGGTCATGGTTCAATTCCTTGTCAGGGCACATGCCTGGGTTACTGGCTCTGTCCCCATTTGAGGGCTTGCAGGAGGCAGCTGATCAATGACTCTCTCTCATCATTGATGTTTCTCTCTCTCCTTTTCCCTTCCTCTCTCTGAAATCAATAACATATTAAAAATAATAAAATAAAAAAGCACTGTCAATTAAAAAAAAATAACCCTCAAAAAATATGCAGATTTTAAAAAAATTTCTCCTCCCATTGTTCTATAAAAGAATACACTAGGGTCAAACAGTTACTCAAACTACATTTGGAGAAAGTGGAAAATCTTACATTTATTTTTCCAGATTAATTTCTCACTCTATTACAATTTCATGGAAACAAAGTAAGTGGTTTACCTGGCTATAAGCATACTCACATAAAAAACCTTGAGAATTATAAAAACCCATATTTTGATATTTTGTGTCACGTGAACAGATGAGGAGGATATAAACCTGCACAATATGCCTGAGGCAATAAAATCAACAGCAGTGTTACTAAAGAAATAAAAGGAGGAGGGAAGAATATAGTGTCCAATATTATCTAGAGAATCAAATGTTCTAGTTTATTATTATTTTTTGGCTGAAACAACATCAAGTGTGTTTATAACATTCATTCTATTTCTGCATTTTGCAGTTAGTTGTCATTCATTATATATTTTTAAAGCCTTCTTAACCCTAGATTTCTAATCAATATCTAACTGAAACAACCCAATTCATGAACTTCTAAAAGAGAACAAAGTTATCCTTCAGAAAGTAAAACAATTGTTAATAAGAAAAAAAATAAATGAGACTACTGAATAGAACTGATGACAGGTAAGTCATATTTAAGTACATGGTTCATGGCAACATTCTTATAAAAACCTGAATCCGGAGTAGAAACCGCCGGTTAGCCTGCTCTAATTTCTTCTGTCTGTGTTCTAATTCTTGAGCTCTCTGTTGTTCTTTTTGTAGCCACTTGATGTACTCCACTGATGCTTTTAGAATGGTTCCTTTGTTCCAGCGCATATCACTGTAGAACAGAGATAACCTTTTCACAATTGTGCATGTCAGCAGAATTCATAAGAACTTACAAAATCTTTTTACATTAATATGAAATAATGACTTACATGATAATTATTCACTTTTAGATATTATTGCTTCTGAATAGAAATTTTAATAGAATAGTTAAGGAGCCCTTATATAGTAAAATTAATCCCAGAATGAAAATAAGTGTCAAAAGAAAGTAATAAAGTGACTTTTTGTGGGAGAGCTAAATGCAATATCATGATTCTACCATTACAGTTTTTATATTTTTAGTGAAAATTGCTTTTATTATTAACTCCAAGATTAAAATCTATGTGTGGTATTTCTGCATTAATGAACTAGGAAATGTACATTACTGGGGACTTAAGCTTAAATTTTTAAAGATCGTTTCAAATGTACCTACTTCCTAATAAGGTTGCTTTTATACTTTTAAGGGGGAAAAAATAAAGTCCTTCCTGAATGGTGATCCTGAGTGATTGTGAAACAAATCAGAATTTGGCAACATCATTTTATGCAATACAGCAAAACTTTCTAAAATTATTAAGCAAATTTTTCTGCATAAAAGTATCAATACTTTTTTAAAAACCCAGATACATATTTTTAAATAAGTTTCATATAAATAAATATAATTAAACATTACCAGATAACCTTTCAGGCTATAGCATATAACAAAATTTATTAAAACTTATTTATAAAATAGGAGGATGATAAATCTGAAATTACAGAACAGGCTACTGATTTTGATATCCATACATCAGTAAATTTAATACTATATGTGAGTTAATGATATTTGAGGAGAAGTAAGCCAAACTAAGTACTAAACGTTAACCTGAGTTGTTGGGAAACTCTGATGAATTTTCAATTTAGAGTCATGAGATGTTCTAAATACAGAACAAAGTAAGCATGTAAGGAAATTTTAAAAAGTTATTATACCACATGTATTTTAATTGAAATGATTTTGGTGAAATATTTATTATATTTATTGTGATCAGAAGTGGAAAAAATATACTTTGAGAAAAAATCTGCTTGTATATGATTCATTGGAAGTTCATGTTAGATTACATTTCCATTAACCTCAAAAAATTAAAGGGCGCTGCATTTTTCAACCACCAGGTGAAAATGTTCACAAGCCTTCTTCTACTGAAATGCACTAAACTACTCAGTGTCTGTCTCAAGTTTGAAAATGCTTTGTCAGTTCTCTAGAACTATAATAGCTGTTGGTCTCATTTCTCTCACAGTGACTTATCTGGTGGTGCAAAGGCAGGGGAAAAAGAAGCCACTTTTGTCACTAAACCAAGAAAGCATTTGTATATGAAAAAGGTAGTGAACTCCTGAATTAAAAAGCTCTGAGAAGTAGGGAGGCTTATGGGCCTAATTTCGTTTTACTTCTTCTCATGGGAAGAAAAAGTTGGATAGAAGGACTAACTTTGAAGTTTAAAGCACTGTTTATTTAGATCTAAACATAAAGTTTCTTTTTAATATATTTTAAGTTTTCCAAACTTATTAAGGAGATGTGTGCCTCTCTTCCAAGACAATTTCAAGCAGCTAGGCATTAAAAGCATCATATATAACAGTAAAGCCAACACATGTAAAGGCATGCTTAAGGAATGAATGTTAATACTGGCTTTTCATTTTCTACAACATAACTTTCTTTGAAAAACTTAAAACTTTTGAGGAACTTGAATGCATTTAAACTTAAAGCAGGCAACAAAAATGCATACATTGTAGCAGAAGTATGGCCAGTCCAAAATATTGAAAATGCACAATCTATTGTCATTTTAGGAGTGTACATCACTTAAAATCATTAAAACATAAAAAAGAAAGTAGAAACCATGACAGACTTGATTTTTCTTGCTTAGACAAACATTTAAAAAGGCTTATTAGGTTTCATATATTACCTCAACTACCATTCATACCTAAAAGTAGGAGAATGTTATGACTATTTAAAAAAAATGTAAATAAAACATTGTAATCAGTGTTGTAAATAAAAAAGTAGAGAAAAAAAAGAACAATTTTAGAGCATCAATGGAATAATTTATGTCCTGGTAGTATTTTATATTTTTATTATTATTATTATTTTGTAACTTTGATTCATAAAAAGCACATATAAAGTACACCAAGACCACACATCTGCAGAAGCTTTTCACTTTTTGTGTTTTAGTTTCATTTGGTTTTATTTTTTACCAATGGTCAGGAGATTGTCATTCCTTCATTGTTTTTGTTTTGTTTTGGCTCTTTTTTTTCTCAACCTATAGACCTTAACTACAGCTGTTCACTATATTATTTCCACTTCTGACCTTACTATTTTGACGTAGCAAAGAAATACAAATTTCTGAATGTTTTTGATGCATAAAAATGGCAACTTCATAGAACTAAAAATGTCTTTAGGTATTAGCCTTGATTTCCTGAGCCAACCCATAAGTTTATTCTAATCATGAGCTGAAAGGCTCCTCAGAGTTCAACTACTTCACAGTTCCTGCTATTTGCCCAAGAGCACATGGTGTTTAGAAGACCCAGGTCTCTTCATTCAATTCAGTAATCTTTCTGCAAGTCTCTGGCTTTCCTACTTTTTCAAATGCATCTGCCCTAAGAAATATGTTTTCTATAATGACTCAGTGCATAAAATTGCAACAGATGTTTCACGAGTTATTACTATCTTCCTTGGGTGTAATATGTAATACTTTTGATAGTTTCAATGCCATTCTTCCTCCTTTGTTTAAAAATGCTGGATCTGTCCCATTTGATTGATTTCATGATCCATTAATAGGTTATGGCACAAGTTTGAAAAATCCTATTCTATACAATTTTATGATCTGATATATTTTTTAATATTTTTAAAAAGAGAAAATGATTTTTTGCATTTTAATTGTTGCTGTCACCTTCTCAACAAATTAATCTGATTTTTTTAATTCATTTTTTGTTAATTTCATCATTGCCATAACATGGTGATAACATTAACTCCAAGTGAAACTTTGACTTCCAGTTAAGATGGCAGCATAGGTAAATGTGGTACTCAAATCCTCCCACAACCACATCAGAATTACAACTAAGCTACAGAACAACCATCATTTAGAACTGCCTGAATTCAAGCTGAATGGAAGTCCTACAACTAGGGATTTAAAGAAAAAGCCACATCTAGACTATTAGGCAGGGCAGAGATCCAAAACGAGCTGGTCCTACACTTAGGTATGTTTGATAAAAATCAGGAGGGATATCTCAGTTGTGGAGGACCCCCTGAGGAGCAAGTGGAACCAGTCCCACACCAGACCCCCAAGACCAGGGTTCTAGTGCTGGGAAGAGAAGTTCCCATAATTTCTGGCTAAAAAACCAGCAAGAATTGAGGCTGAGTGAGACAGAGGGTTGCTGGAGTCCCAGACAGTTTCTCTTAAAGGGCCCATAAACAGACTTATCAGATTAATTCTCTCTGAGCTCCAGCACTGGGGCAGCAGCTCATAAGGCACCAGGGACATACAGGGAGGAACTGAATTGCCTGGAATCAGGACCAGAACTGGAGGGGCAGCTTTCTCCCAGCCAGAAGTGCTGGCAGAAGCCATTGATCCTTTGATGAGCCCTTCCCCCATAGAGAGGGCATGTGGGAGCCATATTTGAGTCTCTGTTAACTTGGCTCACACTGTTCACCCAGTCCTGGTGATTACCTAAGACCCTCCCCTGCCATCTTGTGGGCTCATCTAAACTATTTCTTGTGGCTTTTCCATACAAATGGCTTGTCCTGGCTCACTCTTCAGACTTTCCTAAAATCTTTCAAACCAGCATCTGACCTAAGTATGCCCTGTACCTCTCACTAAGTGGCCCCAACCCTGGCACTAGCAGCAGTTGGCCTTGCTTCACAGCTTGGCCTCTACTGGGCATCTCCAAGCCCAGCACAAGTTATAGCTATCTCCAGATCACTTTGTAGCTCAAGCAGGTTGCCCTGGGCAGAACATAGGCAGATCCTGACACTGCCCCCCAGAAAGCCCCAGACCCAGTGCACCAGGTGGATAGCTTCAGACCACATCAAGCGCCACCCAACCACTTCCACAGCAACACATTCAAGGGGCAGACTCAGTGGGCACCAGAGCTCTACTGAAGTAAGTACTGCTCCTTGGGACAGGCCTCTGCACAGCTGATCCTCCAGGTGGTTGGTGGTTGCAGCCAGAATTTACAGCCATTCCTCCTGGGGATAAACTCCTTCTATTGATGTGCCAACAGCAATCAAAGCTCAACTTCAAGAGGAGAGTGTACATAGCCCACACAGGAGTGTGGGGGGACACACCTGGAGTGCCCAGCTTGGGTGATTGGGGAGGCTGTGCCCTTAGGCTCTACAGAACACCTAACTCATTAGGCCATTGTACAAAGACCAGGAGATTTAACAGGTCTACCTAATACATAAAAGCAAACAGAGAGGCTGCCAAGATGAGGAGACAAAGAAACCAGTCCCAAATGAAAGAACAGAACAAAACTCCAGAGAAAGAACTAAAAAAATAGACTCCAACAATCTACTAGACGCAGAGTTCAAACCACTGGTTATAAGGATGCTCAATGAAGAAGAGTAATTGAACTTACAGAGCACTTCAACAGCACATAAAAGGACATGGAAAGTATATAAAAGGATATAGAAACTATTCAAAAGGACATGGATACTACAAAAAAGAACCAGTTAGAAATGAAGAATACACTAACCAAAATGAAGAATAATTTACAGGGAAACAACAGTAAAGTAGATGAAGCCAAGAATCAAATCAGCAATTTGGATTGTAAGGAAGCAAAAAACATCCAATCAGAACAGTAAAAAGAAAAAATAATCAAAAAATGAATAGTGTAAGAAGCATTTGGGATAACTTCAAGCATACCAACATTCATATCCTGGGGGTAAAGAAAAATAAAGAGAGCAAGAAATTGAAAACTTATTTGGAAAGATGATGACAGAAAACTTCCTTAACTTGGTGAATGAAATAGACATAAAGGAGATCCAACATGGCAGCAGAC